GAAATGCCCCTGAAATTTAGACAACGTCGAGTGTACACGTGTTCGACAGGTACATTAAATCTCCTTGACTGCGTCACAAAGTGATCTGCAGAACACACGTGCATAAAAAGTTGCCTAATTACAAGGGGCAAGTATCACTTGTATAACTGTTATACGAAATTTCCCACTATATGTTCATTAGCAAAGTGATAATATTTTGCCCATTTACATCCCAAAAACATTTGAGGCATTAATTCTTGAGAAACATACAGATACAAAATATATGGTGTCAGTGACAGAGTTCAACAAAAATATAATTGCGCCTTTTTATCGGCGTACTTTGCTGTACTCGAGAGAGAGAGAAGAAAAGAAGAAATAATCACGTCATTTGTAAGAAAATTTTTAAAACGTCGTGACTTCATTTAAAGTACACCCCCAAAATTAAAATACCTGTTTCAAATTCTTAGGGTCCTGAGTTTGTCCAGTTTGATGAGGGGGGATATCAGTTTTTGAAGAAAATTCTTTGAATGGATGAGGTGATATTGTCCGCAGATTGTCGTTTTGCCGTAAACACATTTTTCGATATAAAGACTACACAAAACGTGAATTTCAACACAACGTATTACAAAAGGCAATTTACTACAAATGGGACTCTTTATATGAGAACACTTTTTTGCTAGCAGGCAAGGCCCCATAATCCTATGGTCGTTTTTCCCCATAGCATGTTGAAAGTTGCAGTGGTAGCTACGATGGAGGCAAATTACGCGCTTAATTCAAATTCTTCGAAATTTTACATACTTCGTGTTTATAAAGGTCTGGTTAGGTAGAATGGAAGCCATGTCGAAACACTATTTCATTCTTTAATAGTAAGATACGCAAAACTAACGTTTAAACGTCACAATTTCTATATATCTCTGCTACGACCAAAATACAATCACTCATGTGTCATACACTATTTTTTAGACGGTCACAATGAATTTCATTTTATTTTAATTCAAGTACAAATCTCTCAATCATGTACTATGCTACATTAGGTTCAGTACTAGTTGATGTAATCAAACAAAAGCATTTTCTTTCTTTGTGGCTTTTTAACAGATTTATCTTAACATTTGAAAATTATCTCACTTTTAGCCTAAAAGTAACCGCACAATGAAATTAAAAGCAAGAACCATATGCACGGGAAGAGATTGTAGTACCCGATACGGACATTACACATAAAATTATGTTATACATTTTTGAACTTATTTCTCTTAGTTTTAATTATTTACACTAATTGCTTACGCTTTATTTCAGTATATATTAGTGTTCTGAATTTTGGAAATAACATTCCCCTCTTTTGATGGAGCTGCAACCTCTTTGTTGGGGCTACCACTGGCCCACTTTAACAACAATGATACATTTTGCAACGAAAAAGAAAGTGCTTATACATCTGTTCAAATAACCTATGACTTCCAAACTACTTTCAAATTGAGTCTGTCACGTTTCGCAGGAATACGTATTTAAATACGAATATACATTTACACGAATATTAAAAAAAACATGAGAAATTTAACAGAATGGATAAATTGTTGTACAATATGTAACTTTTTATGATACTTGTTTCGTAACAATAAAATATTAGAACAATAAATGTATACCTTTTATTTTCCATTCTAAATGTTTTTTGGTAATATTTGGGGAGTATCTTATACAAGGCCAACGGAAAATGTATTTTTTGATTAGTAAAAACAATGTTGTTACTAGTAAAAACTAATTATGTAGCGAGATTATTTTCATTCCACGACACCATAATTTTCTTCCGTGAGGATGGCAACTCTGTTCATAAACGAGCAATATTAAATGAAAATCGCGCGGCAGAATTAGTTGTGAATTCGTAACAGTGAAGTATTTCTTACGTATTTTTATAATAAATTTGCAAATTACCTTGGAACACTGAATTTGAATAACATCCAGTGAATACGACGAAAACCTCAACTGTAAGTACAGAGAATACATTTCGTAAGCGTGCAAAAAATCAATTTTCAGTTTAATGTGACTTCCAAATTATTCACATTAACAAACAAAACGGTAACCTTTCAATGCTTATATAGTATATTTGCCTTCAAAACACAAATCAGACTGAATTTGTGGAGTTATGAAATCTTAAAAAATTAGAGGACAAAAATATGGAAGTGTTAAGCTACTCAGGGGAATCAAATGTAGTTGTAGAAAATTTTGCGACAGTATTTTACAAAATAATTGAGAATGGTTTTATATTAGGATTAGAGAGTTACGCAGAAGAGCTTACAGGAGATCTTTTTATGTTCATATTAAAAAAACAAACAAAAGGAAGTAAAAACTGTAGCTACACTAAATTCTAACTATTCGCATCTTCCATACGAAAAAAAAAAATAAGGCGATTGGAATTTTGAAATTGCAGTAGTACCAGTTTGTATCCCATATGGAGGTAACATACACGGCCATTGAGAGTTGTGAATTTTTGAAAGGGAATAGAAATATGGTGTCCGAATAGTTTTGGGAGTGACTGTACGTAACTACCGTGGTTATAGTGGTTGGAATTAACTCAAGTTATTTGTTTATAATGTAATGAAATAAATACCCAAAAATTACATCCTTGCTTTTCGCGCAATTTGCGATTCCATATTGTATTATATATATAACTCCATAATGTCAGCGTCATGATTCGAATTCGTGCACGTCTTATCGGACAGAAGTATCGATGTTCTGCGCATGCGCAGATGCACTAAAATTGTGCAAAACTTGAACTGCGCTTGAGCAGAAGATCGATAGTGCTTAAACTTTCGAGGTGGCACAAACTCCCCATCTTTACACCATGTTTTGAATCAAACTGCAGGGAATATCGATTTAAATCGAATCATGATGCAATTTAAATCATGATATTGTTAATACAAGAATATTATTTATAAAATTATTCTACGAAAATCGAAGTCTTCGTGGTTATCCCACCAACCTTGATGTGGATCTGATATGAAAACATTTCCTACCATTCCACTGATATGTCCAACGTGTTGTTACAATGTTAAGTGGGAGTGGGTATGACCTTGGAGGTTAAGTAAAGGAATATCTTAAATACGATAAAGAATCACATCACCATTCATCTTCTGTGGCTAGCGATTATATGTAGTGTGAAATAACCATTATTTTATTGTTTGATAATCAATCAGGTAAGCCAAACTTTTTGGGCGACACAATAAACGAATATAGTATTAAGTAATACTACACTTGCTATTAATTATACAATTCTTTTAGGGAAAAATGAAGAACAATGGTGATTTTAAAGGTAAAAAGAAAGGAGATAAGGATTCAAGTAGCAAAATGTCCCTGTTACGGTACATGTCATACTATGACGATTTACCCGAAGGACTTGACATGGATAATTGCAATATAAACAGTCAGGATGAACTTGGTGATAGCCCTTTGCATATCTCTGTACGACATGATCATTTGAAGTGTGCAGATTTATTTTTGAAAGCAGGTGCTGATGTAAATGTAAGAAGATTAGATGGTTATTCTGTTCTTCATACAGCAGCTGCGCGTGGATATACCGATTTAATTCGTTCTTTGATAGAGAAAGGTGCAATAGTGAACGCAAAGACTGAAGATGGAGAAACCCCTTTGCATAGTGCTGTGCGTGAATCGAAACCTGAGAGTGCTGAGGTATTACTTCGTAATGGTGCCTCTGTAAACGCTGTATTTGGAGAGATGGATATGACGGCCCTCCATGTAGCTGTATCAAAATCTCCAAATTGCATTGAAGTACTAATTAGTAATAATGCCAATATATTTGCTATGAATAGGCATGGAGTATGTCCTTTAGAATTGGCAATGGAAGTAGGATTTCATCGTTTTCTTGGCGTGAGTGAAGGCAAACCAAATGCAGAAAGTGTAGATGGGATTACTGCTTTACATCTTGCTTCTCGTTGTCTAAATGGTGAATGTCTGGAGATGTTGGTAGCAGGAGGATGTGATGTGAATGTTACAACTGACAAAGGCGATACACCATTACATTATGCAAGTGAAATGGAAAAATTTTTGGAATGTGAAAAAAATAAGGACCAAGTGAAGTTTTCTGTCATCAGAAATATAGAATTATTATTAAAAGCAGGCGCTAATATTAATAAGAAGAATAATGGAGGACTAACTCCACTTCATTTTAGTTCGAGGCATAATCAGTCATTTGCCACAGAACACCTTCTAAATCGTGGTGCTAATGCAAATGTGCGAGGTGGAAAAAGGAAGCGAACTGCTTTACACTTAGCATCTGATATTGGAAATTTACCATGTATTAAGTTTTTATTAGAGTATGGTGCAGATAAATTAGTTGTCGATGGTGACAACAATACTGCATTAATGTTAGCAGCAAGGAAATCACACTTTGCATGTGTTAGAGTACTTCTTCAAAATGATGTACCTCTATGGACATGGTAGTGAACAGAATGACGATACTCTGTTCATAATAGAATTTTAATAAAATATGAAATTGGTTATGGTTAAAAAAAGGGAACGGGGTTGGTTACTAGTCATATATTATTAATTTTATTCATAAATTATTAAAACTTCTATATATATCTGCAATATATATTATGTATTTTATAAATTACATTAATTATTGGTTTTATCGTTTAGAATTGAGGAGGGGGGTACTTAGCCAACAGAATAGTTAAGTAGATTAACAATTCCCCTTTATGCATTTTGTTAAAGATATGGCAATTTGTGTTGTAACATTTCTTTATAGAATGAGAGAAATTTGATTTTTATCAGGTTTGTGGCACGTGTCTATCAATTTTGTCCTTTTTAAATATATTTATGAGTGAAGTGGAAAATTCACTAGAGCTGTATCTGTTGCAGCCCACATTATGAAATTTGTCTGAATCTTACTCCTGGTCTATCACTACTAAACTTCAGTCCGTGGTAATAAAAGTAACTTGTATATGTAACCAGGTTGATGGAATTGCATTCCTTAGTTTCACTTCTATAATAGACGATTCATTGACAGAAATAATTGTAATCTAGAGACTTAAACCTCAAAATATATACATTAGGTTCCTTATTTAAAGGGAAAATTATAATTGTTCTTAGTGTGTTGCAATCGGTTAACAGCTATTTTTTAGTTCTTTTTGTTCTCCGAATATTGCACAAAAGGAAATGTGGTTGCAAATTTGTCGGTGACTAATATGTGTTATTTTATACAGTTAATATCTTCTAAGGATTGACTTTGATATCTCAGCACTTTCTTTTACATATTTCCTCTTTGCTGAATCAAATTCTATGCTTGCCAATGTTTTGTTGGAGAGTATAAGACCTAACACATCTTCGTGGCTTTTTCATAATTTTACTGTTATTAAATATTAGATTCTCATGACAGTAATACAAAAGTATGTGCTTTTGATACTTGCATTTCATAGAACCTCTGCAAAGAAACCTGTGCATATATGTGAACTTGTGAAAACAATGTTAAGCTAGAAAAAAATCATCATCATGAAATGTAGGCTGAACGCATGAGCTCTGTTCCTGGTTTGTGGGTTGCATAGATCTTCTGCAAAATTTAAGGGAAAGGGAATTTTATTTGTTTACGAAGAAACGTACGAGTTTGAATGTCTATTTCTTTCCACAAAAAAGACACATCTTATTATCACATTTAGAAAACACTGTTTAATAACAGTGAGCTTTTAAAAAAAGATTATGATCATTTTTATGTAATGATTAGCAATCCATTTTTTCTTTCCATTACTTGACTACTTTCGCTGCAGCAAGCTGAATGCAAGAGCACAGATAAAGATAATCTAACGAAGCTACTTTTCTATATTTATTTATATACTTCCAAGTTGGAACAGGTAGGAGTCATATAGATTAGTAGAGCAATTAGGGTTGAGCAGTATTTAAATTCTTGCATTTGTAATAAAGTAATTTAAGTACATTTTGTATTTGAAAAACTATATTTTTTTAGTTTTTTTGGCATTTATTTATGTATTTAAATAAACAAAGTATGTGTATTAAAAAAAAGAAACACTTTAAATACAGACAGAAGAAGATAGTTTGGAATGAGAATAGTTTCTTTTTGTTTCATTCCACTAATGAACACACCTCATTTAAACAAAAATAACAGCTCTTTTCAACTGTTGATTTTGGAGTCTCTTCTTTTTTAAAAGATAAATCTAAATCAATAAAAGAGCTGGACAATTATCTGACAAAAAAAATGTGTTTATTCGTTATAACACTAGTTTATGTTCATCTATGCCAGTTGAATTACCGTTTTCCTTGGCAGACCCTTGGCATTCACCAACTAGGGGTGGTTTGTCTGATGATTTGTTTGAAAAGGTAGTAGTTTCAAAAGGAAATTCCACTTCTTTGTTAGACATATTTTTTATATCATTTTATATTTGATAATGTTTATACATATTGTTACAATACATTACAATAGTTATTGTTCAGAAATTTGCACAACTTGATTACTAATGAATTGTAATTAACAATTACAATATGTTGTTGCAATAAAAAATGTACAATACAAAATTATTATGCATTTACAGTATTTTGAGTATTATTCTTCGACTGTTTCTACCCCTAATGGCCATGTCTATACCATTGAAGAGCTTTATTTTCTAGTCTTCTGATTGTGGTTGTTTGAACCCCAGCTCTTTCCCATACCACTTCATTCCTTAGCTTATCTAGCCTTGTTATCCGCAAAGATCTCATAAAGTCGAGCTCTACTGATGGTATTCTGTCTTGACGGTGTTTATTAAAGGCCACATTTCTGCTCCATATATTTTCCACTACACTGTGGAATATTCTTTTCTTTGTGGATTGTGGAATATTCTTGTC